TAAGCCAATTTTTTTCTTGGAACCAGAGAAGTCTGGACTCGCAAAAGGCCATCTCCACGCGGGCCGAGGGCCCGGAGCCTTTCAGACAAGGCCCTGGCGCCGCCTCTGCCCAGCGGGGGCAGACGGGTTCTCCTCTGTGGTTCGGGACCAGCAGCGTCACTGTGCCCAGAGACCTTGCTCGGCGAGCAGATTAGGGGCCCACGGCAAGTGCGGGCGAGGTGGCCGCTTGCTCAGAGAACCACTCTGTCAGGTGAGGACAGAGCACCAGGGCCACCTGTCACATCTGTCACACTTGTCACACCCTCGCTCTTTCACGTGTGGAGTCAGTTTGCAGACTCATCCATCCTCCGGAAGTCTTCTTTCAGACAAGAGGGCGTTAAAGACGGCATTTCCACGACCACCTTCCCAAAGGAACTGAACCTGACCTCAGGTGGGCCCGCCTCTGTCACCCTTTACACCACACACCACACCCCACAGGCACGCCGTCCCCCGAGAGTCTGCCCTCACTGCCCCTCGGGCCTGGGGTCCGCCCTGCATTGCCTGAAGCCCCCCCCGTCAGGTGCCCCCACACACTTGCAGGTCCACAGCACCAGCCCAGGGCACCACGTGTCTGCCCCAGGGGGGCCTGTTCACCTGACCACTCAAGACAAACTCAGCAAAGGGAAAAATGAGCTCAACAGACCCGCCACGGCCTCCAGGACAGCGACACGCAGACAGTCCAGTTGTCACAGTCTGTCCCCAGACTTCCGAGTGAGGACAGCTGAGCATGGGCCACGCAGACCCGACTGCAGGCCACATGGTCCCCCGTCCCCATGAATGGGTTTCCTCACTGACCCCCACACCTGAGAGTCTAAAGAACTTGAACCATGGATCCAGCTCCAGGCTATTCGAGCAGCTGGTGGTCGTGACTTTGACTTTGAGGGTCACACAACACACACCTGGAAAGATCCAGAAATCTGTTCCCCAGCAAGAAGGATGGGGTGATCCACCCCCGAAGTGACCCCCACACCTGTAGCTATAGGAGTGGCTTCTCCTGCCATCGTCCACCTATGGCGAACTCGGCCAGCGTGAGGCCGGGCACAGAACATCTGCTGAAGTTATTCCCACCACATCCACAAAAGCAGGACGCTGGCTCAGCCCCTGCCGTCCCCATGACGGCCCTGTCCCCACGCCGTGCTCAGAACAGAGCCTGAGTCCTTGGAAGTTCATGGACAAGGTTGCGGAGAACAGCAAGCGTGGTTCCGGCAGCCGCCAGTGAGTGACACCAGGCAAGGCAAAGGGGCAGCGGCCCCAGACTGCTCACGTTTTCAAAGATCTTGTCACATCGAGTAGGCGCACAGACCTCGGGTGCCAGCACGACAGCCGCCGTTAGGACCGACAGCGAGAACCGGCGGCGAGAGTGAGCCAGCCAGGGGGGAACCCGGCTCTGCCTGGGGTGAGGGGCACCCTGACAACGCCAGAGCCGGGGGACGCTGGCCCTGTCCCCAGACAGGCCTGGATGCCGCCCACCTCCAAGACGCTTCAGGTGCCTCATATTGTTCCTCAGGCTCAACTTCTCCACTTCTGGAGGAGAAAACATCAAAATACAGCAGATATCGGAAGCAGAGAAAATCACGATTTTGTCATTTTACTTTTCCCAAGACAGCAAGGGACAGTCAGCATTTGAGGCCACAGAGCCTCCTGCATGTGAAAGCAAATAAGTCATTAAATGAACAAATCACTACCATCTACTAAACAAACAACCTAACAGGCAACATTTTTAACGGCCAAGAAAAATATAAGCCACTCACACACCTAAAACCTGGGAGATAGTCTCAACCAGCGCAGGCCGACACTGACAGATTTTAGATGTGTCGGCAGGAAGCAGACACTGATGTGTTTCCCCGTGTCCGGGACTGTGTGGTCTGTGCGCACGCGTGTACTGAATCCTCATGAGCAAGGGTATGAGAAAGCTACCCGTGCGTTCCTGTCCGCGGGAGAAGCTGCCTCGAGGCCAGCGTTTCAGGACTTGCAGGGAGGCGTGGCCAGCTGCGGATAAGTCATCCTCCCCCGGCAGGGAAGGAGCCTGGCCCTGGGGTTCACTTGCCGTATCAGAGCTATGGCTGCCTCGTCAACGAGCATCTGAGATGAGGGCAGCTGCAGGCATCTGACAGCAGAGTGTCCAGCTGAGTCCCTAGAAGCCCCAGCCAGGCCTGACTCACACCGTCCAGCCGTCCGCTTCCCAACGGCTCAGGACCCGAGGGAGCTTTCCCGCAGTGAGTGTGGAATGAGGAGGTCAGGGGGTGCGGGTCACTGTAAAAGCACAAGAGGTGGGGGTGTGGGGGGTCGAGGGGACGAGGAAGAGAGTGGTTGCTCACCTCCAACAGGGGCAGGACAGCAACTCTGTCACCAGCAAAAACGTGTACCTTAAAAAGGACAGAAAGTGGCCTCCAGCCCATACATTACTGAGCACGCACAAGATCACAGTAGCAGAGAGAGAGTGTCCCTAAGGGGTCTCCCGGGAACACAGGGCAGGAGACCCTTTCCTCTGTGGCGCTGCACCCACCAGCAGGAAGCCGCGATCGGGGCTTATTCACCAGCAAGAGCGAGCACTTAAGTGCCCCCGAGCCCGTCTCCCCACCTGGAAGCAAAAGGCCCAGGAAAATCACTGCTGCCTTTGGCACCGAGGCAGCCCAATCTAAGGACACAGCATCAATTTTCTTTGAAGTTCGCTGAAAAACCAGGGTCTGAAGCATCCGACTTCAAAGGCGCTCGCGCTCTTTCTCTTTGAGCCCGGCGGCTGGAAGGACCGACATGTGCGCGAACTGCCTGTCCTTCCCGAAGAAGGGAAGGTGGTTCTGGCCTGTCACGGAAGGGCATCCGGTGGCCAGCACCCAGGAGGTGCACAGAACCCCTCTGATGCGCCTCTGGGAACTGGAGCTGCAACAAGTTCTTCTGCCTGGTGCGGAGGACACGGGTTTAGCTCTCTGCAGCCCGGACGTCACCGTCGGGACCAGACTCTGTCATGGAAGGAACCAACCTCTGAGGAAGAGGCACAGACTGAAAGGGTGGAGAGCAGAAAGAATACCCTCACTATATGGTTATTACCCCAGCGCTGAGGGGGTGGGGAGGTACCAGAGGCGTGGCTTGGCCTGTGCACTGTGCTGAAGCGCTTTCGACATGTATTAGAAAAAGCAGCATTGTTTAAACACTTCTATCTGTGTGTGGGGTGTGGAGGGGGGAGTTCAAAGAGGAAAACCAGGGAACAGCCGCGGTGCATGGACCTGAGCCCCTCCGCACAGGTCCAGGGGCAGCCAGGGGCGCGAGAGTGGGCCGAGCCCACACGCAGAAGGCGTCCCAGCGCTGGGGATGGCAGCTTCGAGTTCCACAAAGCGCATGAAGTGTCACTGCCAGGATGTGACATTTCCGCTGCTGTATTTGAATAAAGTGCAAAAAAATTTCCATGCTGAGGACGTGTGCCGTCCTTGAAAACGCTCGCATGCACGCGCACACAGCATCTTTCCGTGTCGTCGGTCAGGAAGCTCGGACCCTCCAGCCCCAGCTGTTTAAGGGTCTTCTCCTTGTCTGTCCAGAGCCCCCTCGAATGCGACGCTGTGCTGGCTGATCTCCTGAAAACACACTTGTGGGCTGCGGCGCCCACGTGCCCACTGACAGTGAGCGTGTTTTTCACCCCAGAACTGGCTGTTTCACATTGGGTCCGGCCGTGCGCAGTGTATTTTACACAGGGTCTTCTTTTTTTTTTATCGTTTTTATCCTCCCAAAATTTATCCGTCCTGCATTCGGAAAAGTATCTTCTAATACAACATAATCTAATCTTTTCATACCTTTGGCTTGTTGTAAACATGAATGTGTGAAATCACCATGAAAACTACATTTCAAACTCAGGTGGTGAAGGTTCTACCCCCAAATGGACATTTCCAAAGGGAATAACATTTGGGGTAAATGAGCATAGGACAGCATCGCCATTTAACAAAAAGTAACTTGTTTGTAGAAGTGAGAATGTCCCTAGGTATGTCTGCTCCCAAGACATAGTTTCTTCAATGTCACTGGAACCAAACGTCCAGAGCCCTGTCCTCCTGGGGCATGACCACACCCCGAGTGACTCACCGAACCCTGACTAGACTCTGGGCCCTAGAAAGTATCATCGACACAGACAGCTTTCCGAATCCCACTCCGGGCACAGCCAGGGCCTCGGCCAAGAAGATGCATAATTTTAATGCCCAGTTTCGTTGTCAGAAACTCATTCTCGGTTTCCCCTAGCAGAACGGTTGTACTTGGCGCTTTCCCTGATTGGCTTTTCAGTTACTCTGCAAGCCCAAGTTCACAGGGCCGGTTTTATGGGTCTCCTCTCTAACCTCCTGAGACCAACTCCCAGGACCGTGTAGTCACAGGCGACGTGGCAGGCCTTGCAAGCCCCGAACACTACTCACAACACGCCGCACATGTGACCGGTGCCGGGAATCCACAAAGTCTGAATCCCCTGTGACAGCTGTGCCCAACACAAACAGCCACTGAAATAAATTCCGCTAAAATTTCCCCGTGTCCACGCCAAAGTTTGGCAGACAGAGCTTATCACATTTACCCCTTTTCTTAAAATGAAAGAAAAAAAGTGCAAATGTTTTTCTCTAAATAAATCTGCTTCAAAATATAGATCGTAAATGTTCCCAGCCACATTTATAGGCCTTTACTCCTTATTCTATGAAGAATTGCACATGCCTATGGAAATGTACTAAACCTTCACTTCTTAAGAAGTATAAAACAAGGCATTTCCTTTCCTTCTGAAACAGAACTTTAAAATAAAATAAAATGTGAAAATAATTTTCACGAGACCTAGGGGTTTCCTCAGTGGATGGAAGCTCTTTGTAAACAAGGGTGGAGTTGAACCGAAACAATGTGAATGGCCGAGCAGAGAGCACGCGCAGCCTTGCCTGACCCTCCTCGTGTTCCGCGCGTGTCCACGCCACGAAGATGCCCGAGGCGAGGGCCCAAGAAGCCCGGCTTCACACGTGCGTGCAGTTGGTTGATGGCGGGGTGTCGGGCCGACCGCGGTGGTCTTTGGCGTCCCCGAGGGGCGACGCGGTGCTCACGGGGCAGCGGAACACCTGCCTGTAGGCCGCGCGGAAGTTCTCGGAGAGGAAGGCGTAGATGATGGGGTTCACGGAGGAGTTGCTGTAGGCCAGGCAGTGCGCCATGACCCTGAACAGGAAGGAGGCCGGCGTCAGCGGGAAGACCCCGAACTCGGCCCACAGGTGGATGACGTGGTGCGGCAGCCAGGAGATCCCGAAGACCACGACCACCACCAGCACCGTCTGCGCCGTCTGGGGGTGGGGAAGCACACGGTCAGTGCCGCACACGCGCCCCGCAACCTCGCGCCCAGTCCCACGGGGTCCAGGAGCGCCCAGGTCTGCACTCCGTGCCGACCTCCGGGTCACGCGAGGGCCGCGCCCAGCCTTTTGCGGGGCCTGCCATGCTCTCCCGCAGGAGCAGCTTTGCCGTGCGTGTAAGCGCGTGCGAGGGACGGGACCTGCCTGGAGATGCGACAGGGCCACTTTAACACCCTCAGCACTGGGGTTATTCCCCAGGCCAGGCAGCTGGGAGGAGGCCTGGCCCCGCCCCCAGAGCTGGGCACGCCCCGCCCCCAGCCCCTGGGCGGAGCCACTCACTGCCCGAGGCACAATGAGTACGGTTCCCAGGCAGCTGAGGACTGTCTGCGGCCAATCCATTTCGCCCTCCCGGCAGCAGACAGTGGTTCCTGGGTCACCGACCCCGAGGCACCCAGAGGTCAGGGAACCTGCAAACGGGAGACGTCCCCGGCCCTTCTGGAGACAGCCGCAGCATCTCTCTGCTTCCCAGAACGAACTCCCTCTGAGTATTCGTGTAGCTTCCACTAGGAAGCTTTTACTACACGCCCGGTTTGGGGCAGAAGTGGACCCAGCAGCATCTGGGTGAGAGCCCACCGCACCTGGTGGCCAGGGGATGGCGCTGTGCCCCGAGCAGCGCCATCCTGTGCAGCGTCTGTCACTGTGTGTTTGTAGGCCAGTCATAATTTACCTCTCTATGATTCGTGATCCCCCTGGCCTTCGCAGGACCACGAGCAAGACTATTTTTCTTGATCTGCCTGTAGCCTTGAACAGGCGGCTGGATCGCGATGCCCAGCACATCAGGAAAGAACACGCAGTGGGCACTGACGTGAAGGGTGTCACTCACCGAAGGCTGTTCCAGAAGAGTCAACTAGAATGCTCCCAGCTAAGCATCCACAGGGCCTCACCGTCTCCAATTCACAAGCATCTCAGCCCAGCAGAGCTGAAGTTCTGCGTCCTGTACCTGGCCCTGCCCTGGCCCTGCCATTCCCAGGTCAGTCCGGTGACGTCAACTCCAGCAAAGACACCGGAGTGCGCAGCTGAACGCAGTGCATGATTTTCTCTGTCAGTCTCCCTCGCACAGAAGCTTCTAGGCCTCCAGGCTGAGAAAACTGAGAAGCTGGGGGGAGGAGGCTGGTACTAGGAGGAAGCCCCCTCACGTGGGCAGAACACTGTCCTCACTGGCTGCTGCTTCCCACGCTGGCAGGAAGTTAAATATCTGCCCAAAACAGGGTGCACAATCCCCAAGCTGGGGCTCTGGCCGACCGGCGCTCACCTCTGCCCAGGGCATCTCTGGGCCACCCGCTGCGGCTCCCCTCAGTCGGTGACAACCACCAGGAAACATCTGAAATCTCAGGTGTTTGACGAACCACTGATAAAACCACGACAAAAGCAAACTGTCTCCCCCACTTCAAGCTACAGACAAAGCTGTTGCCTGGACCTTTACAACCTGATTCTCCCCCAGAAAGACCTGAAGAAGCCGCTCCCCTGCTTCCACTGCAGAACCTAAGCACGTCTGGGCAGGGCGCCCCTCTGTGGGGCGTGAGAGTGGTTTCTGAACATTTCCTGCAGGACTTGTCTCGTTTCCTGTAGTATGGCCAGCCTCAGACAGAGACAGGCCAGCCCCCTGTGCCTGGACGGTGCTCGGCTGTCTGTGCACGGTCTGAAGGGGCGTCCTGACCCTCCCCGCGGCTCCCAGACTGGAGGCTGGTCCCGCCGGCTCCCCTCCTTTGTGCTCCTCCTGCTGAAAGTGTCTGAGAAACAGCCGTCTGCCTGCTCCTGGGGGATTCTCTGCGTCAAGCCATCCGAGGCATCTGTTTTTCTTCTTCAAAGAATTTTACTCAGACTGTGTCTCATGGCACTTGGCTGGGAAGGAAAAAAATGACTGAAAGAGGAGAATGGTGAAAACCATGCTGTCATTGTGTCAGTGACAGCTGAGCAGCTTGCTGGGTGACCTGGGAAAGCGTCTGCAAAAGGCAGGTATGGTGGGTTCGACCCTGACTCGGACGCGCACCGATGGGCACCACAGAAGTGGAAGGAAGAGCCAGGAGCCACGGGGCGTCCAGAGAGCCTCCGCTCAGCCTGCTCCGGCGGTGGCCGCGCTGTCTGATGTCCACTCCACCCTGAAGGCCACAAAGACCCCTCCGGACCTCGTCGAGTGTCCGACCAGCCTGAGCTGGAAAGCGGCCCCTGTGCGAGCACAGCACCGGATGCCTCGGGGGCTCGCTGATCTCGCTGCTGCTACTACTCCGTGGTGGGACCACGTCCTTCTTCTGTTACCCCCGCCCGAGGGTAACTGCGCAGGGCTCCCTGTGCGGGGGGACATGGCACGGACATGGGGACTTGGTCTCAGCCCCGAGAGGGGGAGCAGGAGACAGGAGGGCGCCGTCTCACCGGATCCCACGGAGCCACAGCAGGTGCTGACGGGGCAGGCGCAGCGGCGATGCTTCCTGGGCCTGGGCACACCGGCCGTCTGGTCTCTGCCTTCAGGGACTCGCCTGGAGCTGGCTTCCTGCCCGGGCTTCCACCTTCCCCCTCCTCTCCCCCTGCCCAGTCCCCCTCCCCCTCCCCAGACCCCCTCCCCCTCCCCAGTGCCCCTCCCCAGTCCCTCTCCAACACCTCTCTGCTCTCTCCTCCTACACACACACAGGCCCCCTGCTTTATTTGTTCTGTGCAAACAAAGAGGCAATTAAATCTGTCAAAACAGACCAGACATCTGTTCTGTGACTACGAGGGGTCAGAGATTGTGAGAAGGAAGAGACACTCTGCCTCCCGCCTCCCGCTGTGAAAAACCTCTCCGGGGGCAGGACTAGCATCCATGCGCCACTCCTGTGCAACGTACACAGACGTGCGTGCACACTGTACACACACAAACACACCACTACCCAAGCACGAAACTAAACGTCCTGGCTGCTGCCCCATCACTGATCTTCAGACCTTTCCACTATGAAATGACACGGAGGCTTTGGTCATCGTTTCCTACGAGTCCTGCTCTCATTCTCCCACCGCGGCGTCCTTCTCAGGGACTGTCACGCTCTCTCCGCAACCGCTCTTAAATACAGGGACTAACACAGCCACCTTCACAGGCAAGGAAGACCCAGCTCGTGTCGAAGAAGCTCTGCATCCTGTCGGCACATCCCAACCCTTCCAAGTCAGTCAGGAGCCGCGTCCTGTGTGCGCGGCGTCACCTGTGTGCAGGTGCGGCCGGCTCGTTCCTTGCAGATGAGGAGCCGGGCTCGGAGGGAACACTGAGATGCATCAGGGAAAACGGGAGCCACTCCGGCGTCCCACGCCTCAAGGGCACAGGCAGGAGGCACCAGCTCCCACGCCCGCTTGCCCTCCTCTGCACGCTGCTGTCCAGACCGGACTGGCGCTGGAGCTAAGGTCTCAGTGTCCAACGGCTGCCCAGAAGCCAGGACAGACGCGGGCAGCCTCAGCATTCTCGCTGCACCCTCCTCTTCTGGTTGGTGCCCTGGACTCCACCTGGGTGTGTTTCAAATTCAAACGGGACCCTGCACCCCTAGTCCGACAGGAACTAATGTGGCTTTACTACGTCATTGCTTGGAGACCAGGAAAGTCAGGAAGAGCTGGCCAGGGTTTACTTGGGCAGAACTTTTAAAAATAAATATGATTAAAATAGAACTTCTGCCAATTCTGTGTCATTCATCATCATAAATGTTTCAGAGGAAAAACAAGGCATCTTAAGATGCGATGTCTAATATTTTGGGGTAAAAACGCATGGTTATCCTCTCCTCTGCCCAGATCACACTGTCTAATAATCTCATTCTATTTTGTAAAATCAGAAATTACACAGACGGCGTCTGAGTAAGAGTTACATTAACCCGGATTCATAAAATAGTTTTTCCCTCAAAATGCAAAGTGTCACCTAAGCAGGAGGGTGTGAGATGCTAAAATTACTCAAAAGTTCTCCGGATTTGCGCGGTGAGAGAGACAACTGGAAAGGGAGAGGCTGCCCCCTCAGCCCGCTCCCAGCTGGAGGCCTCTGCCTTGGAGAGCCCATCAGCGCAAGCCTGGGAGGAACAGAGAAGAACGGGGCCTCTGCTCTTGGCCTTGAGGGGCGGATTCCAACCACGTTCTCCCCAAAGACAGCTAAGCCAGGGCCTTCAGGAACCGTGCCAAGGATGGGAAATTCACAATAAAAGGACTGCAGTTTGTGCAAACTACGGATGTGGCAACTGGACTACGTGGTCCCAATCAGTCCCGGACGCAGCCCTCCTGGGCTCTGAATCCGGAAAACGCACGTGTCCCCGGCCCCCCAGCGTCTGGAGCAGCCTCACTGTTACCCCCGGTGCCCTGGGGGCTGACTTCCCACCCCCGCCCTCCCTTCCCACACTGAACGGATGTGAGGATAATGAATGCAAACAGAGCCCCAGACAGTGACACGGGTAACACATACTGTAAATATTACCTTTTTCTTTGATGCTTCTGATTTCTTTGACATGTTCTTCAACTTTTTGTGCAAGTGATTAAGCACCTGAAAAACACAGATGATTAAAATTGGCTTCCTGCCCTGGCCGGTATGGCTCAGTGGATTGAGCGTGGGCCTGTGAACCAGAGGATCCAGGTTCAATTCCCAGCCAGGGCACATGCCTGGGTTGCAGGCCAGTTCCCAGCAGGGGTCACACGAGAGGCAACCATACATTGATGTTTCTCTCTCTCTCTCCTTCCCTTCCTCTCTAAAGATAAATAAATAAAATGTTTTAAAAAATTGGCTTCCTCGTGGCCCACAACCCACGGTCTCTGCTGCACCGACCTTCTAGGCCTGCTGAACCGGTAACACCCTTATTTACAAAACCATTCAAATTGAAATTCAAGTACAGCGATCAAGTGAGGACCATCGCGAAGAGCCACCCCCGTCAGTGTCCAGGTGCCGCTCCTGGTCACAAGCCTGGGTGCAGAGAGCCCCCGCACAGGCGGCTCTAGAGGTTGTGCAAAAAGAGCCACCCGGCCACCCGGCCCTGCGGGTCCGCCTGCCACCCGATTTCCCCGAGTTGCTCCATTGTGACCATCGGCGGGTCCGATACCGGTCGGATGGGATGTCAAATCCCAGATGCGCCTGTGTACGAGAGCTAGGGGCTGCCCCGCGGCGCCCCATCCGGCACCCCATCCCGTGGAGGCCGGCAGGCACGCGGGCAAATCAAGCCGACGTCGTCAGGGAGGGCTCCCGGGGCCAGTGTTTGCTTTCATGTGTCCCCTCCATCCTCTCTGCCGGCTTTCCCTGCTACGAGTCTCCTTAAAGCAAGTGTACCCCCATCGGGCCTCCTGTCCTCGTTCATTCAAACCGTAACCTCGGCGCTGAGCTTAGAGACAGTGTGGAGAGCCCGGCCTCACCAGTCGTAGAGCCTGGGCGAGGTCTGACCACCCAAGCTCCGTCAGGGCATCTCTGGGGGAGACCCGGGCTTCCTCCTTACAGACACGGCCTTTGCCTCCTCTTGCCAGTGCGAGGGCCAGGATTCACGGCGGGTGGCGTTTGCACACAGGAGCTTCCGGCCGGCCCCAGACCAACATGCAGACACGGGGCAGTCACGGAACCCACGCTCATTGCCCACCTGCACGAAAATCTGGGGGAGACTCGCCTCCGAGGGACCAAGGGCTTCCCACTGTCCACCTGCTGCCGCGTGAGCTGTGGCTGAGCCAGCCGCTGCCAGAACGCGACCATGCTTCCCTCTGGCACCACAGCATGGAAATAATTTAATCAAATTAAATTTCTTGCCAAAGCCCGCCCTGTGAACTGGAGGCAGACTTCTGGGCGACCAGTCACAAGTGTCAGAAACCGCAGGGCTCCCCTGCCGACCACGGGGGCCTGGCGCTGGCTAAGTGGCATCACTGGGTGTGAGTCCCAATACCCTCCTGCGGAGGGCGAGCCTCGCCCACGACTCAGGACCTCCGCTTGCTCCGGGAGCATCTGGGGTCGCTGCGATACACGGGCAATGGGTCGGTGACCGCTCTGCCAACAGGAAGGAAGGCACCAAACACTGGGGGGAGGCAAAGGTCAAAGGGAAGGAGCTTCTGCAGAAGCAAACGAGGAGATCTTCCAACCAGGGTAGGTGAGAGAGGGAAGCAGGCCCTGCCAGGGAGGACGGGCCAGCCTGGTGAGGCTCCTTGGTGGCAGCCTTCCCAGCAGGAGGACTCTGGCCACAGAGGACAAGGGACAAGAGGAGAGAGTAAAGGAGAGACAGCCGAACAAAGTCAGGGAGAGGAAGCCAGGACGGAAAAGTCCGGCATCCTCTGCTTCACAGTGCTGCTCGGGGGTCTGTCCACACCCTCCACAACCCGTGGGACCGCGCCAGCGACTTTAAGCCACCAAGGAGCATGCTGAGCAGTAACTGGAGAAAACATCCAGCTGTTTTCCCAGCTGCTTTGCTCCCTGACCCACGCTACAGGCCCACGTCAACCTGTCACAGTGCATCCCGACCCAGCGCAGGTCTGCCACAGGGAGGGAAATCACGCAGGCGTCAGGGTGGGTCACGGACTTATTTCCCCGAATGTAACGGCGGTGTTCTGGTGGCCTCCCTCTACTGCTGTTCTCGCTAAGGAGGGCGTGTGGGAAGCGCACACTCAACCCTGAGCCTGGGCCGGGGTGGGCAGCAGGTGCTCGGGGGTGTGCGGGCACGTGGCGGTGGGCATGCCACGTGTGGCGGGCACCCTGAACTTAATGTCCAGGTGGCAAAATCCTTCACTGGGGGGCTTGCACCGGATGGAGGACCTGAAGAAAAGCAACTTGAAATTAGAAATTACTCCATCTATTCAAGTCACGAAATGAATTTGCTTACTTAGATCGACTTCAAAAGATATGTTCAGTTACACTTAAAAGCAAACTATTTCCATGTTTAAAAAGTCCCCATGATCATGGACTGACTGAGTTTTAAATAACCGTGTGCAAACTTCGCTGTGTGATAGAAGTGTGGTCTGGTTTGCCCACACATCAAGAAGACCTAAAAACTTCTGGGAAATGAACAGATTATGCTTCAGTTCTATTCTGTGGGAGTATGAATTAAGAGGCAAGTAGCTGAAGAGTCCCTGTAGTCCTTCATGCCCCCAAGGCCCTCACCAGCTGTCCCCTCCCTCTGAGGACCCGGAGCCCCACATGGAAACCATTCCTGAGCCGCCTGTCGGCCAGCTCTCCGGTCTGAAGGCGTCGCTGTGTTCCTCCAGAAGCTCTCTTCCCCATCAATAAAGCAGTGACTACAGTGCCAGCTCGGGGTGGCCGGGCAGATGAAATGACCCAGGGCACGAAGCGTCAGACCACCGTGCCGGGCAGAGCGAGCCCCTGCAGAAGACGGGGGGGACTGGACCGACCACTTGCCCAAGAGCTAAGCCAGCGTTCTCTTCTACCTTCCCCACCCCTCTCCCGCAGCCCACCCTTCCAGATGGTCTCCAAAACTGTATCAGGGCTCCAAACAGAAGTGGGTCTGCACCGATGCTGTGGGGGAGGGGAAAGCAAACCCCGGGGCTTGTGTTAAACACGGTTGCTGGAAAAGCACTTCTGAACCCAGTGAGAGAAACTCCTGCCGGACCTTGTTGGGGCACCGTGCCCTGCAGTCCGGGCCGGGCAGCGGCTGAACAAGCAGGAGATGCACAGAGTCCAGAGATGGAACAGGGTGTGTTTCTGGTGGCGACGGGGCAGCACCTGCACAGCAGGGTGGGGACGTGGTCACAGAGGATGGGACGTGTGCTCCTTTTCACTCAGATGTGAACAAGCTGTGTCCAGGGTGTGTAAGACTTCGGAGGCTGTGAAACCTTCAAAGCTGGGTGCCGTGGTACGCATGAAGGAGGCGAGTGTGCAGAGCTATGTAAAGCGGAGGTGAGAACAGTGTCCCAGTGAGGGTGACGGGTCCCAGAGCTTGGCCCAGGTATAGAGTCGCGCCTGCCACCTGAACCATGTACGTTGTTTACACACCTTCCTAAAAAGAACCAAAAGCCACCCTCCGAAGTTCTCTGGAGACCCCCTCAGACCCCGGAGAAGAAGTGCTGCTTCACCGCTTGGTTTGCACACCTGAACTGCGTGAGGTGGAGTGGGAAGCTCTGTCCCCAGGGGCAGTGGCTTCCTGCAGCCACAGAGCCGGGCCCCCAAAAGCCTCCGCACCCCCACAGGAAGGAGCCTCACCAGAATCACCACCTCACGTCCTGGCTGAGGGCTGGCAGGTGGGAGACCGCCACCCTGGCAAAGGAACTCCCCTCCCCCTGCTGGCCCACGGAGACTGCGACCCCCAACCCCCACCCCAACCCCGAGTCCACAGTCACACACAGGCTGTCCCAGTTTGAGCTGCTAAAACCCCACAGATTTCCCTCCACCGAAGCGGGCTGCTGCCCCTAGGGACAACCTGGGGCTGCGGGCTGCCACCTGGAGGCGACGCACGACCCTGAGAAGCGCAGTACAAACTTTCCCAGCATCCCCCAAACTCCAGGTAACTTTCCGTGCGAAGCCGACAGACCCTCAGCGGGCGGGGGGGGCGGGGGATGCCCTGCAGGGCACACAGGGACCACCGTGAAAGCTGTGGGGGCTCAGAGAACTGCCCGCGGCCCCCCCTCCGCCTGCCAGCCCCTGCTCGCGCGCCCACCTTGGCATAGCAAAAGGAGATGAGCAGCAGCGGCAGCAGGTAGCCAAAGACGAAGGTGCACACCACGTAGGCCTTCTTGTGGCGCTGGTCGGGCCACTGCTCCCAGCAGAAGGTCTGGTTGCCCGGGCCCCGGTGGAAGAGACGCTGGTGGTAGGCCACAGGCGAGGCCATGGCCACGGACAGAGCCCAGATGCAGCCCACGCCCAGCAGAGCGTTGCGGGACACGCGCAGGGAGGCGGAGCGCCGGGAGTGCACGATGGCCACGTAGCGGTCCACCGACATCGCGGCCAGCGTGAAGATGCTGACCAGCATGGAGACGGTGAAGAAGTAGTGGATGAACTTGCAGATGAAGGCGCCCAGCACCCAGGTGGGCAGCGCGTACACCGTGGCCTGGAAGGGGATGCAGAAGAGCAGGTAGGCCAGGTCGGCGATGCTCAGGTTGAGAATGAACAGGTTGGTGGTGCTGCGCGGCTTGCCCGGCTTGCTGCGCGCCAGCACGGTGATCACTAGGCTGTTGCCCAGCACGCCCATCGCGAAAATCAGGCTGAAGGCCACCAGCGTGACGAAGTTCTCCACGCCAATGCCCAAGAACGGAGGAGGGGCCGGGGCCGGGGGCTCGGGCCAGCTCTCGTTCCCCTCGCTGAGGTTCCCTACGGCCAGCTCCATGGCCCTCGGGGGAGCCCGGGGAGCCCTGGTGAGGGCTGCCTGCCGGAGACAGAGGGTGCCGAGGCGCTCCGGGGTCCCAGTCCCGAACACAGAGCGCGAGGTTCCGAGCCTGAGTCTCTCTGGTGGCCACCTGCCGAGGCGGCCGTGTCTAGTGGCACCTTGTCTGTGCGGGTCCGCCTGACAGCTGGGTCTTCCCAGGCGGAGGTGACGATCCTGAGAGCGCAGGGGACCCCTGCCCGCGCGCCACTGCCCTCTGCGCGGCCGCGGAGCCCGGGAGGAGGCACCCCGCGCGGTGCAGCCTTGGAGATAGAGAGAGCTGCTCACTGCGCCTTACCGGCTCGCGATTCCTTCGGCCGAGTCCCTCGCTGCGGCAGCGGCTTCGCGCCGCACCTGTTGCTGGAGCCGCTACCTTCCCGCGCGCACCCGGGACTCTGCGGGGCGCGCACAGGGCTCGTCGCGGTTCCTGGAGAGCGGTCCCAACCGTCCCGTTCCCAGCTGTACCCGGGTTTCCGAGTCGTTAACAGAGCGAGCGCGCTGTCTGGGCTTTCCCGGCGGTTGGCAGGGGGCTGCTCGGGCCTCTTCGCTGCCACTGAGACCTAGAGAGGACGCAGCAGGGCTGACACCCGCGCCGCCGGGGTGCAGCCCATGTCCCGGGAAATCACCGCGCGGAGACCGGGCCAGTCCCAATGGATGGGTAGCCGCCCACTGCCCCCTCCCTGGAATCAGCCACACGCTCTGCAAGGTGCGGACCCGCGGGAGTCCAGCGAAGGCGGCGGCTCCGCTGCGGCACCGGACCAGCGGCGCGGGCAGCCGGGCCGCTCAGCGCGGGGGCGGGAGGCCCTGGGTGTGCCGGCCTCCGCACCCGTCAGCGCCCTGCGTCCTTCTCCTTGGAGCCCAGCCCGCCACTGAGAGCGCTCCCTGCCCGGTGATAAGCCCCAGGAAGTCAGCGATTGGCACGCGGTCCCGAGTTTTGTGAAATCCCCAATCCGCACCCTCCCCCCCTGCCCACCCCCGGGGAGGAAAGAGGCAGGACAGAAAGGTGAAGAGCGCGTTTGGGTTCTGGTTAGGAACAGGCAGAAATAAGACGAAAGGGGACAGTGTCGTGCGCACAGCGCACAGCGCGCAGCCCGGGGTCCGCTCTGCCGCCCATCGCTCATCTGCGTGACAGACGGAAGCTCTGACTCGAGGTGCGGGTGAAGTGGAGGGGCGCGTTTAGGATGGCAGCGGCAGCGCCAGCGGGAGCCGAGCTGCCGAAGGGCGGTCCCTGCCTGCGATCTCCCGGCTCCCGAACTCAGGAGCCAGGCGGGCTCGTTCATTTGCTGTGTTTGTACGACTGCCTGGCACTCACTCTCCAAGACACAAGCACGCTTCCTGCGTTCTCCCAGCGACAGGGTCCCGGTGCATCAGACACAGCCCGGGGAGGCCGGCGCTGCGCAGGGGCGGGGGCGGAGGGCAGGGCCAGCGCTGGGACGGGGCCTCCTGGGGCCCCGGGAGCCTGGGAAGTCAGTCGTGCCTCGTTCCCCTTTCGTCCTATCCCACTGGCTCTATTCCACCTCACCTCCAGGAGGATGCTGATGCAGGTCGTTGAACACCTGCTCTGCACCCAGAAGTTTGCCCGCGTTCATCGTTTCATTGCGTGGACCCTGAGAAAGAAGCTGCCTATCGAGGAGGGCCCGCAGCCGTTCCTGCCCAGGGTGCCTCTCTCACCAAACCGCAGTCAGGGAGCGGCCTGCACCGACCCTCCTGCTTGCCCTGGGCCTCTGCTCGGAGCAGCTCTTATACAGGGAATCCTATTTCAACCAATAGGACACAGGCTTTCCATGTCCAATTAAGACTGTGAGGCGGCTCACCAGCATTTTCACCAGCCAGAGTGGTTCCATTTTCACCCATCAGGACAGTGATTTTTGGACCAATCAAGTTACATGGATTTGGAGCCGTAATTTGCATAAGGGTGGACCAATCAGGGGCCAGGGTGGGGCTTCTCTCGGTATAAGTCAGTTCTCGGGTTGGAGCAAGGTTATTTTTCTTCTTTTTGAGTTAGAGCTGTGACATTTTGTTTTCCTCTTGGACTTGAACCGCGGATGGACCAGAGCAAAGTGGAGGCAGAGCTGTCTGGCTGGAGAGGGGCCTGGCCCAAGACACTCTCACAGCTATGCTGTTCCACCATTGAGCTGGTTGCTCTGAATAGTTTCCTTCTTCATCACACCCCTGATTAGGGATTCCCCTGGCATTAAGTTCACACTGACAACCAGCAATTGACAATTTAATATTAACAATTCTCTTGCCAGGAATGCACAATACAAGATAAGGGAGTTTCTTGCAGGGAATTGTTTGAGCCGCACGCATTTCCCAAAGGACAGACGAAACTGAGTTTCAGTCACTTGCAATCCAAGAATCTGCTGGAACAACACTTCCACCTTCCCTACGAGAATGCTGAGGGCACCCACCGAAGCCGAGGCTCGGTGAGCTGTCCTGCCCGTCACAGGTGCTGCTCATCCCAAGGGGCCAACTGGCCCACATTTTTGCAGCACCGTGTGGGACAGCTCTGTTGCTCTGAAAGTTGTTTGTAGTAAGATTTGGAAGAGAATGGCGTTTTGATTGTTATGAACTCCTTTCCACATGGGACGTGTACGATGAAATTATATCCCGTACCCATGCAGCCACCGCCCAGCTCAGAGTGACAAAAAACAATAATAGGATGGTGGCTACTTCTGTTCGCCCCCACCGGCAGGCAGCCTGTGGTCTATCAGTGATGCCTTTACATCTCTGATATGCATGGCTTCTTAAATAAAAAGTTGTGGTTTTTTCATTATTGAATGTTATACGGTGGGTCTCATGATAATTTTTTCCCCCTTGAATGTAATATGCCTGGTATTATGGCAGACATGCCAACATTCTTTGCTCTTCATTGGCCTGCTAGGCAATTCGTCATCTTCCTCTATCCCATGATTTAGCATTACCTCTTGGAAACAGCACGTAACTGAATTATTTTAAAATCCAATTTGACAGTCTGATGTTTTTAATGGGAGAGTTTAGTGCATTTACATTTATTGTTACTGTTGGTCCATGCGAGCTTATTTTTAACTTTTTTTGGCTGTACTTCCCATTCTCTATGTCCACGCTTCTTTCGAGTCCCTCTTGTTTCACACCATTAGGATTTCTCCTTAAGGTATTTACTTGTGCGTGTGTGTTTCACCTCACGTGGGGGGGAAGGCAAGGACTTGTTACAGCAGCTTAACCTGACTGAGGCCGACTCGAGCACCCCTTTGGCAGGAGAGGTAGGGCAGCTGCTCTCACTGACGGTGGACGGTGAGGCCCCTCGAGAGCCTTGGCGTTGCACAAAGTTTTGGCTCCGTTCCCCATCATAACGCACGGTCACGTGTGTGTCACGGTGCCTGTCCTGGACTTGAGACTCGCAGTCCCTCCTGGGTCAACATGCAGCTGGGTTCCAGATTGCTGCCCCCGCCTCTCCACGGAGCTACACCCACTCCTGGACCTGCCCCTCCTTCAGCTCTGGGTCTGGGAGCGCAGGACCCCCTCCTGGTGCTGCAAGGTTTCTGTGTCCGCCTGTGTGTGTCCTCAGCGCCATCTGCTCAGACCGGGGGCCTCCTGAGGACACATGTCCATCCGCATCGCGGTCTCGGTGGGGAGGCGGGGCCAGCCGGCACACCTGCTCTCCTCTTGGCCCCCAGACCCAGGAGCTGCCCTGAAGTGGTCACTACACGTGTCACTACCCAGGGACAGCAGCCACTGCACCTGCCGGACCCTTGTCCTGGGTTCTTTTTCATTTCTCCTTTTTTAAAAATGACTGTTACTCTGTTACAGTTGTCACAGTTTTCCCCCTTTGTCGTCCTCGGCCCAGCCCACCCCCCCCCCACTCCCACGGTCAGTCCCCACATTGTTGTCCACGTCTGTGGGTCACTCACACATGTTCTTTGACTCGTCCCTTCCCCTTCTTTCCTTCATTGTCCCCCTCCCCCTCCCCGGTCACTGTCAATCTGTCCAGGTTTCCATGTCTCTGGTTCTATTTTGCTCATTAATTTTGTTCATTAGGTCCCCTTCTAGGTGAGAGTGTATGGTATTTGTCTTTGACTGCCTGGTTATTTCACTCCCAACACTGTCCAGATCCATCCATGCTGCCATGAAGGGCAGGAGCTCCTTCTTCCTTTTTTTCTGCTGCGTAGTATTCCATTGTGTAAACGTACCCCGGTTCTTTAATTCACTCACTTACTGACGGGCGCTCAGCCTGTTTCCAGCCCTGGCTACTGTAAATCATGCCGCTGTGAACACTGGGGTGCACGGGTTCTTTGGAACGGGTTCCTCCTGAATGTTGAGAGGACACCAGTCCCCTCTCCTCCTGATCCCCTGCCACCGCAGCCACCACAGCCAAGTCCCCTCATCCCCTCACCGCCCAAAACATCTGAGTGGAGAGAAGGTTGGAGGTCGCCTGTGCCCTCCAATCTCAGGTTGGTGGGACAAGTGCAGATGTCCCCCGGGATGTCCCTTCTCCCAGTCACTGTCTCTCAGTGACTATAAACAGCATAATTTGGAGCTCAGGGTGAGAGTCTGACCCCCCTCCCAGTGCTGAGGTCCGTCGTGGCCAATGTTCCCGGAGGGCAATACCCCCATGTCTTTCTGTCTCATTTTAATGACACACAGGAGGCAGAACAAAGAAGAATCTAGAAGAAAATACACAGAAAACACTCGAAATGGTGTCTCACTCCATCTACTTACCCACCTCGGGTTGAAATGGCAGACACACTGGTTCCCTCTGCATCTGGAACGAATGGGTCACTCTGCTGGGGGGGGCGGGGGGGGGGAGGGAGCCGTGGGAAACCAGCAGGAACCAAGTCGGTCATACTGGCGACAACTTTAAAGACTCGCGGGCCACGCTGCAGAAACCACGTACAGGGAACATTATTTTCACCGCTTCACAGGCCAAAGCTAAGTCTCGGGAAAGTTACCCTACTGTGTGCTCCTTTGAATGCCGGATGGGATTT